TTTTTGTTGACCTTTGTCCATGGAAGGTCCCTGCAAAATTTCATTGAAATTGGTTCAGGGGTTTTGGAGAAGAAGATTTTTGAAATTTTAGTCAATTTGACCCTTTTTGGCCCCGCCCCTCAGGCCCCTGGGGGCTTAGGACTAAACCGGCGACTCTTTTTGTTGACCTTTGTCCATGAAAGGTCCCTGCAAAATTTCATTGAAATTGGTTCAGGGGTTTTGGAGAAGAAGTCGAAAATGTAAATTGTTTACGGTCGCACGACGGACGACGACGGACAAAAGGCAATCGCAATAGGTCACTTGAGACTTTGTCCTAAAAACTTAGTTTTCTGCGTGCAAAAAACTCAACGATTAAAATACATTGAAAATGGGTCACTTTTAGAGGATAGGTCCAATTTTTTCTAAAACAGGCCTACATGTTTACGTTCTGTGTTACATTCATGTTTTACCAGATGAAGACATGTATCTTCTATAGATAAAAGGACTTTGTACAATCTATTTGATCTTAGTCTTAATGTGATCAAAAATACTGTTATTCTCTACAATGGTATATATGTACATGTACACGTATGTATTGGGAATCAGAGGTTACAGGATCAAATTCCCTACGGAAAATACGTACCCCTTTCCGGTTGGGATCAACCTGTGTGAAGTAGGGGCCGTTATATATGTTAAATCAATGTTATGTAAATTTGTATGTTTTAGTGGTACCATTACATTCAAGACAAACATTATCCGTGCATGAACATTTTTTTCTCATTCCAGATGTTCAATAACTTGTCAGCGTTATTATTGTTACACCTGAAATCTATTCATATACATATATCTTCCAAAAAAAAATTCACGCAGAGGACATTTCAAAATTTCAATGAAAATATTTTCTTTGTCCAAGCTGATCATGAAAGAAATGTTCCGCATTGTTTTGTTCCTATTAAAGCAAAAGATGTTTTTCTTTTATCACATGTTACCTCATCCAGGCAAATATATTTAGAATATCTGGATCATGATTTCTGAGTAAAGTGTTTCTTTCATCTAGTTGTAGAAAGTATTATAGATTAATCTCACAAAAGACCCTCCAACAAAACAAAATCCATGCTGTTCAATTTTGACACACATTCTCAAACCAACACACACATAACCGTAACTGGCATGAAAACATCACACCATCCACAGACAAACCCCAAAGCTTGTTTTCCAAACCTTGACATTTTAACACATTTTGTAGAGCTGTGGCCCTTTGGTTAACACTACACACATCATGATCAACTAAAAAACATGATATTGTACTGACATAATGACATAACTTAAAGTAAAATTGCAAATTTATAAAGAAAATCTGTTAATATGGTATGTAGCAATGAATATACAGGTAAATCAACATGGATGCAGTTATTAATATAAACTTATGCAGGTAATGCTAAAACAGTTATACCATTCTACACAGGTAGATATAAACCTACACAGGTGAATACGCATATATCTACACAGGTGTGCAGATTAAGTACCGCAGGCTGCCTGTGTAACCAACAACCAGGTGTCGCTTTTGACATAACTATGACAACCAGGCGTGTCATGCAGACGTTATACTTACAGTGATACCCTGTGAAAACGAACAAGAAATCTATATCTAGGGTTGTTATTTAACATCAATATATAGAGTTTGCAAACTTCTGTGACTTCACATAAATGTATAGTGTTTGCAAACTTATGTTACTGAGCATATATAAAAATCTATATGATTTGCAAACTTCTGCTTCTTAACATAAATCTTTTCCGTCTTTGCATATTGCAGAGTTATCTTCTCTTGGGAGCAGGTATTGATTGTTACGTCATTGGGTTGTGCGAGAAAATTACGTCGTTTTCTCAAAAATTGATGACGTTACTCTCACAAACAAGTGACATAACAATCAATACCTGCTCCCAAGAGAAAATAACTCTGCGATACGCAAAGACGGAATAGGGTTACTAAACAAAAACAATATTTAAGTGTTGGAAATGTGTTTTACTTAATATACATGTTTGTAACATTCTTAAGACAATTTTTCATTGTAATTAATTTAGCATGAAAATAATTATGAAATGAAATCATCAGACTGATTGTTGCAATGCCCCATAGCCAAACATCAATAACATTGTGTAGTACAATTGTACAGCTGTTGTGGTTATTGTTGCCTAATCAGAGAGGCTATTCAGCAATTGACGGAGGTATTTGAAATTTTATAAGATACTGCACAGAACTAGATATTATACATAATTTTCATCAATACCTAAATCCTTGATGTTGAACCTACATGTAGATTTTCTTTTCTTCCTCTGACTTGAGTACCAATTATCTCCCCTTATTTAAAACAACGTTTTGTGATATTTGTAAATTATGAATTATACAATCACTCCTGCTTTGTTGGAAATAAAAGTATACCTAGTAAACTCAAAATTTAAATAAAGTAAATGAAGCTGAACGCAATGTCTGAAAAAGTCAGTGAAAGGGAGATAATCTAGATCACAGTGACCTAAATTGGATATGCTACTGTCATATTCCTAGAGAGTTATTTCATATATACATTTTTGATGAATATTGGAATTCTAGTATTAACTCATTCACCCTTGAAATTTCGTAATGAACTATTCCACCCTTTCAATTGTAGGCGTTCAAATGTGTCTTTATAAGTTAAGAGTTATACTAGCATGTAGCTAAATGCACGCCCTTACATCAAGATAGGTGTAGAGACGAAAGTCCCGAGACTTAATGCTAGGGACTGAAATACTGACTAGAAAGTATGTAGATTCATACCTTTTTTTTCCAAGTTAACTTTGTAACTGGACATCTTAATCATACAATATGTGTGTAAGCGCGATATTGTCGGAGTAAATGGAGAACTGTTCAACCATGATAATGAGTCAGGTTGGATGATACCAGTTCTGGTAAGATGACTTTCCTGCATATATTGGTGTCCATTTAATCAGCTTGTCATTATCACCATAGAACATTCATACTTCAGTGTCAGGTTCAAGGACACATTATTAAACCACATGGTACTAGGTGTTAGATTATTTTGCCCATTGTACAGAAACAGCAGCAGCTAGCTGTGTTTTACCCAGCAAATGTTAATTTACTATATATCTATCAACTGTAGTCGATAAAAGCGTTAGCCTTAATTTTCAAAATTGGAGTCCCAAGCAAGCGATCACACAGAAATAAGGCAGAACAGTCTTTAATTTTGAACGAGTGAAATTTCAAAAACTTTGCAAGTATGTGCTGTTACTGTGGTGACAAAAATACTGATAATCGTGTGGCTACTGATAATGACATAACCTGATATACTATATTTAAAGTGACGCTATTACAGACATTAATTTGTGTAAGAGATACGTAGTAATGAGTTTGTACCTTATTGTTGATTGACGAAACATACCTGTTTATGGTGCATGACCACGGCATTGACGTCCAGCTCTGCGCCCCCTGCGGCCTTCGACTTCTGAATTTTAGCCACAATCCATTCAATGGCTGCCTGTTTTACACCTGCTGTGAATTCAATGACAACAAGCGGATTGAAGGGACGCTGGGACTTCTGCAAGATCTCCACATACCCTGATTCTCCATTCTGTGTCTCCATGGTTATAACTAAAACAAAAAAAAGCAAAATCTAATTTGAATATTTAATCATTGTAAATATTTAAAGTTGAAATACTAACCATGAATATTTTTAATGATATACATTACTGTTTGAATCAATTAATTGGCACTATCACAGACTTCCATAGATCTAACTGTATGGCACCATATATCCTCTAATTTTCTTCGACTTGAGCGAGGCTACTACTAATACCAGGTAAATATGTCTATGCATATATATATATATATAAGTCAAACACTGTTGGAATTACTTCTTTGCCCCATATATAAGTCCAAAGATGTATAAAGGTGACACCTCCCATGTTGTGTCAAAACTGAATAATAAATCCCTGTAAAATTTATTATTTTAGCCTGAAACCCAATAGTTCAAGCAGGGACATATAATACTGTCCCTTGTTCAAGTGGCTGTTTTAAAATAAATTTATAGACAATTTTGTTAAATTGATATAAATTGCATCCTATAGATTAATTATTATTGATAATATAATTATACGAGGGTTTTATGTGAATTAAATTTTCAAACATCACAAAATATCGAATCAATACATCATCCTTATAGTAAAATATTGAAAATATAAAATAATATCATTTCACATTAGTTTAAGATTTTTCATTTTATCTACAATACAAATTAAAGTTTATAAATTTATAAATGCTATAATGCATTAAGAAATCTAATTTCTATAAAAATAATTCAAGTAACTTCAAATTACTGATGCCCAAGTAACTATTACTGTCCAGTAAACAGTTCATATCACCAGACGTTGAAGTCTAGGCCTACAACCATGCATAACATTTTTGACATTCCAATGAATGTATCAACGTGCGAAAATGATGTCAACATTAAACGTGCCATGCTGCATGTGGTTTGCACTGCAAGTATATCGTCGCCTGTTGAAGCTAGACGGCAGCTTGCTGCACTTAAATAGAAAATAATTTTACGATAAACACACTGTATACTTGTTCACCCTCCTCCGCCTACGGTCCTCCCGTCTTTTTTTCCGATAACAATAGACTCGCCCAAACCAAGGGGTGGTCAGGACATTTGACAGCAATACGTTTCGACAATTAAGGTATATATATTTAAATATTTTGAATATATATCATACACTATAACTTGCTATAGTAAATGTCAATGTTTCGTTTTATGCAGTTATGATTAAAACGATTGACTTCGACATATTTTCGACAGGTGTATCTGACGCCCCCAGACGATGAGTAACCTTCAAAAGTCGCGATACAGGTAAAGCCCTACAGGACAGGTGTGCCCAACTTAAAGATGGCCGACTAATTTTGAGCGTCGTCTGTTGCAAAATGTAGTAAAAACCATGGACTGGTGCCTTATATCAACCCCGGATCTACCCCAAAACTCCATGCTAACCTATACGTAGCACAGGTTAGTTGAATCAAGATGCAATGTCACTTATTACAGTTTACGTGGCAGGTGTACAGGTGAAATTCATTTGTAAACAAGTGGGATGCGGGAACGAAAACAACTAATCGTGAAATCAGTTCAGGAATATAACTTGTATATGATTTTCCTACAACTAAATCAATTTGTATGAGCAAAAAGAAAAAGATCTTTAAAATCAGTAATTTTGCAATATCAAAACTTAAATATTAAACGCAACTGTTCAGTGAATGCAAATTAAGGAATATTTCAGTTCATATACCGATGGACAATAGACATACTTGACCATACCCACTATAAAAGACAAAAAAAGAAATTGCTATAAAAACAGTTATACTTGCCTTACTTATTATTTTAAGCATACATTTTTTTCCCTCAATGATGTTGAATTACAATACAGACATTAATGAAAAAGTTCCACGTTTAGTTGGACGGCTTATTTTAAAATTATTATTATCAAATATAATATTACACAAAAGTTATTTACCCTATAGTTTCTTTTGGCCCATAACACCAGACGTCTTTGACATTCAGACAGATGGTCTGCCAAATTGTCAAATTAGATGTCTGGTGTTTGAGTAATCCTTAAAGCAGAGTAAAAGTTACATTGATTGTACATGTAAAAGATGTGGATTAATTAGGTTGTCTTTACAAGCGTTGTCTTACAAGCGTGAACTGTAGGGAATTTCCTTTTAGCTTATTGGTAGAGCATCAATTTGGAGAGCCAAGGATCACAGGTTCGAGCCCCAGCAACGGCACTATCTTAATCACTATTCTCGTCCTATTACAAATTGGTGTCGTTGACCCTCCCCGTTCAAGGTAGGACCCTTGGCGGGGAGTCAAAGAACCTGGTTTGTTGCATATTTATTCCATGGTTTTGCCATGATGCGGTGACTGTATACCGAAGTTTTGATAAGTTCTAAAAGAATTGCACACACAAAAAACGTTGAATAAATTATAAAATGGGCCAAAAATGAAGCTGTAAATCTAACGATGATTATAATGAAATTTAATTAATTCTCATAATGATCAGTAATGCATAAGGTTTGGTCTGGAATGTAGACTATCCCCCTGTCGCTAAAGAATCTTTAGGGTGGTTGGGTGGCGCAGTGGATGGCCGGGTATTGGGTCACCTGATCGACCACCTGGATTTTCTCCTGGTACTCCGGTTTCCTCCCACATTAATAAGACCATCCAAAATACTAACATCCAGGCCAAAAGGAGTGATTTATATAAGTTGAACTTAATTGTTTCATAATTTTTGTCAAATAAATAAAATTCATATAGAATTTTTAGTTCATACAGAAAAAATTGAGAATTTTGATCATTTTGATTTCTTGAATGGCTGATGTTGGAGCTACCGGCCAGCCCCTAAGTTTTGATGAAGAATTTCTCAACTGCGTTTTACTTCTAGCTTATCTCTTTATTTTTTTTATTAAAATAATTTATATTCTAATATTCTAGAGACGAGGGACCAGTCTAACCAGGGGGGGAGATAAGCTAGTAGAACAGTCCACTGGACAATTTTAACAAAACTTTGGGGCTGGTAGCAATTCTACTTTTCCCTTATAACATGGTATCTTGGAACTGATCTAGTAAATATTCATGAATGTATGAACAATTTGAAAATCATTATTTGTTGTTTTTTCTTTTCTAGTGTCCCTGATCCCGTGCCACGATGGCACTGGGAATCCTACGATGCTCTGTCCTGGTTGCTATGGTGACGGTGGTATGCTGGATGGATGTTGTATCGTCTTGTCCATCTTCTTGCAACTGTTTCCAGGATAATTATGGTACAACTGTTCAATGTCAGAATAGTGTCATCAGCTCAGTGATATCGGGACTGCCAATCAACACAAAACGTCTGGAGATTCTGTCGGCCCAGGGTGCGTCCACCCTGTCACAAGCCACCTTCGATGGTGGCAATATCGGAACCATAAATAATCTTTTAATACAGGGCAGTAGAATACAGAGTATCAATGACAACACATTTTCTAAGTTCTCCAACCTGAACAATCTTAACCTTACCCACAACAGTATTAGATCAATCACAAAGAACGCTTTCGCTGGACTCAACAGGCTTGCAACGCTTGACCTTTCCTCTAATGATCTGCAGCAAATTGCAGACGAGTTTGTTCCTTTGATACAGCTTCAGAACCTCGATCTTAGCTCTAATTCAATTACTAGTATCCAGAACGGTGCCTTTAGTGCACAAGTGATACTGAACAATCTTAGGCTGGATTCAAACAAATTACAGGCAATTCATGGTCACTCATTTCAGGGTCTTGTAAACCTCCGTAAGCTCAGCATACGAAACTGTGGCCTACATTCATTAGCTTCTGATCTATTCAACATCATTCGCCACCTACAGACCTTAGATATTGGTGACAACCTCATCTATCAGTTGCCTTCCACTGAAACATTTCAGCATATCCCAGCAGCCCTGCAGCACTTCATCGCCGATGGCAACCAAATATCTGTTCTTGTCAGGCATCAGTTTTCACGAATGAACCTACTTACTCTAGATTTATCTCGTAACAGAATCAGTTTCCTATCCCATGCATCTTTCGCTGAATGCAATGTGCGTAACTTATATTTATCATCTAATTCAATAACTGGTATTGAAGAAAATGCATTTGCTTCATTAGCACCTCAGTTGGAGAGGTTAGTTCTGTCAAAGAACCCATTGCGTTCCATACCACTTCATGTGTTTGACGGTCTGTACAGACTGATATATCTTAATTTAAGTACATGTTCACTCACCAAGCTAGAAGACTTGCAATTCCAGTCGTTACAGAGCTTGCGCAGTTTAGATTTGTCCATAAATTCTCTACAGTATATTCCAAAAACAGCAGTAAGTAAATTTATAAATCTTCAAGAACTAGGTCTTTATGGTAATGAATGGCACTGTGACTGTCACATCCGCCCTTTGTGGAACTGGTTAAAAGGGTTTGTTCAAGGAATTCTTTTGTGTCCTATTGGGGCGACTGCAGCTAAATACAGTAACTGTAAGACCCCAATGTGTGAGTCGCCTACAAATGTGAAGAATTTAGCGGTATCCTCTTTGTCTAAGCAAAATATTCAGGCGTGTCAGGATAAGGACGATCAAGAGACAATGTCAGTAGGGGTCATAATTGGCCTCGCTCTGGGTAGTATGGCCGTTATCATTTTATTCGGAATTCTTGTCGTGTGTATCTGCCGTCATCGTCATGGTCGTCCTCTACCTGCCATATGTACGGCCAACTCCACAGCCAGCAGCCACAAGGAAGATCGAGAAAAGTCCACCACTCCGTTCAAGGACATGGATATAGGCTCTCTCAATGAGTCGGATAAAGACTTTGTGGTGAAGCGATACTTCCGCTCAATGGAGAACCAGCCCACCAGCGTGGCATCCTACCGAGGAACGCCATCGCTGTCACACAAGGAATTTGACTTTGACGGGTCTTGTCCTTCCATCCACAGCGTTAACAGTGTGTTTAACGGACCTATAGGGTACGAGTCCACCGTATGACATTTGTATGCAATAGATTTTTACGTTAACATAAGCCAGTATCACTTATATTAGTATCTATATGTACAGGAAAAATAACTTGTCATCACCTTACTGAAATTCGATTTTAGATTTAACTTACTCAACCTTCACTCTAACATATTATTTTAATGCTAAATTTAAAGTGTTAATTGAAAAAAAAAAATCATCAAAATATTGTAAGTATCCATGATGACCAATAAAGATTTTTCCACGATTCATTAAAGTGCCACGGTTTTAAATCTTGCCATTTCATGCAAATGTATTTTTCTGTAACTGAAAGGTTAAGTTGCCATGTACCTGATTTTAAGACATAAAGTAAATACAAACAAGACCAAACTTAATCCACATTTCCAACTTACACTTTGGAGTATTCAAAAGGTATTGACTTTCCAAACTAATCCTTTGCATAAACATTTCCTTCAAATGTAAGACCGTTTATAGTCGGAAGTACATGTCCTCCAATTTGTCCTAAACAGTCATGGAGTTATATAATTATAATATATGTAATCTTTTTGATAAAATACTGACTTATAAATGAATAAAAATAAATTTAAATGTATACCAACCAAGTCATAAGGAAAGAGTGCGGGTTACAATGTATATATCCGGACTTCAACCATGATGCAATTTTTATACACATGAAGTAGATCTTTATTCATTTCCTGTTTGAAATCTGATGGAAAATGATTGTGTGTATATGTGCATACATACTATATTAAGAGGAAGTAAAATAGTTGATAAAATTAATTTGACGTTATAAGTCCATACTACCAAACTTAATGCTTACACTACTTAAATTGTACAACCAAGTCCCTCTCTAAACATGGTGGCTTGATCATGATATATGTTTAATATCATGAGTATGCTTTGACATTTATCCCAGACATTATTGAGTTTCAAGAATCAGGCTATAGATCTAGGTTCTGATGTACTGACATCCATTGTACTTTATGCTTAAAGAAAGTTTGTCCAGATCACATGTATATGAAGTGAAGTAAACATGACCGTATACCATATCAGTTATAATGTCCAGATCACATGTATATATATGAAGTGAAGTAAACATGGCCATATTCCATGTCAGTTATAAGCCCAGCGACAGGGTTTTTACCACACCCTTAGGCCTCCTAAACAAACGTCAAAGACTTTTCCACATACTAAAGGTATAACAATATAATAGTCATTTCTCTGTGCTCTTTCTTTACGTTTTCTGATAGGGACTATAGCTGTAACTACATTGTGTAAATGCCTGCTAGCCTTTTCTGATAAAGACTATAGCTGTAACTACATTGTGTAAATGCCTGCTAGCCTTTTCTGATAACTGTACCAATATACATGTAGCCAAAACAGTGTATATATTATAAAGGCACCAAGTCCTTTTCTGATATAAAGCACTATATACCTACAGCCTTTTTTGGTATGGACATTACCTTAAGCTTAAGTGTATACAACCAGGAAATGTCGGCACTTTCTGTAAACGAGAAATTAAAGTATTTTCTTGTTTAGGGTCGATAGAGTGCTGACGGTTCCCGATTGAACTTGAAGTGTATGGGCATGTCAGTCAGTTTTGTGGTATTTTTGTAAGAAGCTGTGAAATATCTTTATATGGATGTCTATTCAATGTTGACAAATAATGTTCAATTGAAATGTACATACATGTAAATCGATATGGTATATAGGTATATTTGAATCACAGGTAATTATATAATACATTCAGACTTTTTTTGAGAATTAACAAGTTTTTGGAGATAAATAGTATTTCTTTGGAGATTAATGGTATTCTATCAATACAAATTATAGGTATCATGTGTTATGTAGTACAATACATTTCACTTAATGTCACGTCACTTAATGTCACGTTCAAGTTAACATCATGTTTTCCTTTGACAAATGAGAAGTGTGATAGTCAGCGAAATCTACTGTTTATTGTGATTATATAATATATGTGTATAAATTATACAATAGTTTACTCTATTTTCTTTAAAGACCATAACATTTTGGTACTTTAATACTTAGCTTAATTATTGTTGTATAATTATAATAACACATCTAGTGGAACCTGGTTGGACCAAACACAGCCAGCTGGACCGTTGATATTTCTGTGGTTCTGACAGTGAATTTGTTGAAATACACTGGTTCTATTAATATACATGTACGGTTGAAACTTAATTATCCTGGGTCTCTCATTGCTCCAATTGTATGCAGGAATTTGATTTTGTCCAAAATTCTACAGGAAAGGAAGTACAAACATAGATATAGTCCGTAGAAAAACAGTTGCCTTAATTAAATTTGCATAGGATAACAAGATTGAAATATACCTGTAATGGTAGCTATATATGGCAGTTAATTAAGATTTTTGATACTAAAATATTTGGTTGCATATAAACAATTTGCAATAAATATATCTTTTCAATGACTTCATAATTTAGCATTTGTTTTATATGAAATATAGTGTAACTACTGATTCCATTGTAATTGAACTTGGCGAGTGATAGGGCTGTCACAAAATATCGGAAAACAGGTATATCGTAATGCACAGGTATATCGTAACGTACCACAATACAGAGATGAAATATTGCTGTACCACAATATTTTTCAAAAGCATATATTTATGTATCTGCTTGGTGTTTTAACTTTGCAATTTACTACAAATTCTTACAGATATGCCAATAAGCATAAAGCATTCTTTTTATAGTGCAAATTTTGTAATCAATGGTTGGTTTGACCAAATTCTTACATCTATGTAATTCATATTAGATATGATAAAGTTTGATAACATTCTGACAACAACTTATATATATGACAATACATTGTGATACATATCGCAATATATTCACACTCCTGGCATATTGTGTCACCCCTAGTGAGTGGGAAAGTTACATTTTAGTGGGAAAATAATAATAGTGCCTTGTTGTAAATATTGTAATATATCATGATAGTTGTATAGTTTTATAAATTCTCTCACATTATTTCATAATCTTGTATGTGTGTGTGGGATCTATTTATGACCAGTACCACTTATATTTCCATATTTGAAATTCTCAGACAGATCAATGCAGACATGTACAAATGAATAAAGAATTATTTTTATTGTCTCCATGACTGAACTCTTAAGAATGTTCATCACACTTTCTTAATTATCCAATTTTATAGTATTTCAAAATTATACTGTGGTTCCCCAATGCAACTAGTAGTGGTTGATTATCATGTTTATCTAACTGGAGTTCGTTAATTGTTTAAAATACAAGGTGAATGAGTGTCTTTCACAATTTGAAAATGAGATAAAACCTGATAAACAAGGCATCATGAGTTTGGGAACCTTTTCTCCCATAACATTCATATAATATCTAGAAAAACCATGTTTCCATTGGCAATACATTTTTTTCAAGTTTCCAATTGGCGACATTTTTGGTGAATTGGACGTCAAAATGGAACATAACGGAGCAAAGCATTAATCCATGATGTCATCATTCAAAGATTGACCAATTAAATAACATTCAGGGTGTTGCCCAAGAGCGAGTGACCCAAACATTTTACAAAACCTAGCAAGTTTATATATATCCAATGAGTTGCACTGAGAATGATGAAATATATAGTGGTTTTGGGGAAAAAGAACTCAGTTCTGATGTTTATGTATAGATCCTTTATTAGAACATGTAATTAAAGTAAGAGTTAGGGGTAGGAGTTTCAAGATACTCCCATTTCATTGATTTTCTTTAAAAACCTTGGCATATATTATGGACAACTGTGTATACATGTACATAGGATTATCTACTTAAAATAGTCAGTAATGATGCATATACAACAATTTGTATGAATATGCTCAATTTTATGCTCATTATTTTAACAGCATAGCCTGTGTTTATATACTTGAAGATGTATTAGAATAGAATAATGCCCCATTATTTAAGGTTTGATAGTTTAAAGTCCTGTCCTGTCAGCTTTGTACATGTATTGCTATATATGAACAGTTTCATTGGCTTTGGCAAACAACCCTTAACGGAACAGGTGCTAGTATTCAAGGAAATGTAAGCTTCCTTATTCAGTTATGTATTTTTAGCTTGTCCAATCAGTCATGTATTGTCAGTACCTTGCTGCAGTCAAGTCCTATCAGCTTCTTTATATAGCCATGTTAGCTTGTTCAGTCAGTTACATGTTTTAAGCTTTTTTAAATTATGCTATAATGTATTATAAGCTGCTTTCTGGAGTCATGTATTGTCAGCTTCTTTTTATGCAGTCCTGTATATATTGTCAGCTTGATGGAGTCCTGTTCTTTCAGCCTCTTTGTGTGGTCATGAACATTCAGTCATGTAACCATTAACTGTCATGGTAAGCTTCCTGATGCAGTCATGTGACTGTCCTGTCAGGTTACTTGTTAGTTTCTTTTTGATACAGTTAGCTATTGCCAGCTTCTCCATTATGCATTTATGTATTGTACAATTATATAATTAGCTATTGCCAGCTTCTCCATTATGCATTAATGTATGGTCAGCTTTTGTATAAGGATTTTATAAGATAATTACTTGAACAACCAAAGTTAATAATTATTGAAAAGGGTGTTTTAAAAAATACATGCATTAAATTGATTCATACCAAATAAATCTTATAGTAATAAATATGGTCCTTATGAAAGATGTGAGATTCAACTCATCATGCTTGTACATTAGGAAACTTTGAAATCTGATACTAAATGTTATGATTTATATGCTATTTTGGTTGTGAAGTTGAAACTCATAATCTGGAACCAAGACAAGATAACAATCTTACAATGAACATTTAACAATATTTGTATTATATTAATTGTAAAAGTGTTTATATTATTAAGGATACAGATTACCAATGCTGCCTTGCACATTATACCTGTGATTTGAGTCAGACTTATCTCCCTTGAATAACTACCAGATTTTTTCTTTTTATGAGCAGCAGTATGGCTGTAATATTTTGTGGAGGTATTCTTTTTGATAAAAGTGGCCTCCAAAATCTGCACAAAATGTCAAACAGTAATGTATGTCTCTTCTGATTGAACAGAAATTAAATTGACTACTGACAAATATTGGGGGAAATTTAATCTTCACTTTTTAATGCTCTGTTGTCCCAAGGCCCCAGTTTCACAGACGTTCCTTAACTTTCAAGCATAGCTGCAGTTTAACTCATTCACCCCTGAAATTGAACTATTCCAACCTTTGAATTAGAAGAGTTCAAATGATTCTTCAGGGGTGAATGACTTAAGAAAATTCTTAAAGTGTTCGTGAACTTGAGACCTAAGTCTGTCTCATCCACATTTACAGATGTTTTCATTGGTAGCCAGAATCCTGCACGCCTAATAATACTCAAGAAAATGTGTTCTCTATTTTACATGTGGTTATAGTATTATGTCACTTTTGGTGGGGTTTTTTGTCCCTGTGACTATTCATCTCAAGAGCTCCGTGATATTTGATGCATCTCTATTTCTCCTTTTCATGTTATATACAATTGTTATACAAACACCGTTATTGACAACATGCATATTAAGTTAAATGTCCCATATTTCTTCATTTAATAATTCTGATCAAATATTGTTAAAATATTTCTGGACATAGTTCTAAGGTTTTACTTCAATATGATTTTATTGTTCTTGAAGATAGCATGTACAGTAAAGTGTATAAAAGTTATATTCCAGACCAGCCTTTAACTATAACAGACATCAAAGGTCATAGAAAGGTCACTGTGACCTACTTTTTTGTATTTGAAACATATTGTTTCCCTGCATTAGGTTTGCATCTAGATCTCTATCAGATATATATATATGCAACTAGGAAATCATGATCCTGACAAACTTTTTCAATGATGGAGGTCAAAGATCAGAGGTCACAGGATATAGCCTTATAGTTTACTCGCAAACTAAATTTGGTAATCCTCAGAGAAGTACCATACATATTTTTTCCTAGACCTAAACCAATGATAAAGATTACTTTTTTTTTTTAATTTACATTGTACAGTACAACATGTATCTATGTCATTATTTTATTTTTACAGATATCTATTGAAAATGTCAAATATCATGCAAAATATATTCAGGTACAATAAGATAAAAGAGCAAGTGTCAAACATTAAATTGAGTTAGAAAAATAAAAAAAATTCCATCATTCTGTGGATTTGAACATATTTCTTCATCAGTTTATGAATTTGTGTACTCAATATTTAATGCATGCAGCTGTTAGATATCGTTCCATGAATCTGTAATACCATAACGTTCATCTTGTATTGACAAAATGATAGACATTTATAGATTTGTATGCATTTTGTACGGGAAAATAAAGAAATTTTACTTGTATATAATGTTTTGGGTTTTTTTAAACCAGGGGATGGATTTTCTATATGTATACAATTTATTTAAGGATTGGTTGTCATATTTTTGACATGCATTGGTAACGCACCATGTTAAATATGTAGGTAAGCCAATGTATGTTACACATACCCGGTACAAAAATATGACAACCAATACTTATATTTACATTTTATGTTAATCAACTTACAGTTCACGCAGAAATAAAGACATAATATTAGTCTGAACACGTTTCAACGTCAGGGTAAATCCAGACAGAGAACAGCCACCAGTTGACAGTGGAGCAGTGCAATCTCCAATGTTACAGTTATGACGTAATAAGCGTAGCGACGTCACAATGGCCCAATGTATGTTATTTCCGTATAACATACATTGGGCCCAGTAGAAACATCTAGGCTCTGTGCAGTGGAAATGTAAATATAATGCTATAATCCAGTACATCTAAAAATGCAGTTTTTAAATGTATGGCTTGAATATACATTTTGTTTGTAGTATATAAGAACTGACGGAGGTACATTTTATAATTACATGTAAAGATAACCAAAAAGTTCAACTATCTTGCAAAAATGAATAAAACAGAAACACAAATTTCAAGGATCCACATCTGGAGCTGCCCATTGCTAGTGTTGCTATCAATGAACTGTAATGCACAGTATCAAAATAAAAGATGAATACCTTAAGATATCATGGAAAAGGTTTGAAAAAAAAAAAAATCAACCATAAACTCCTTTTGGTTAATTAAACAGCTCTAAAGAGGAACTCTTCTTTGCCATTATAACTTGTACAGTGGTACCATTTTATATTAACAGAGCTACTCTTATAGACTTATCCACAGAGGTATTAGCATTGTATACTGGAGCAGATCCAAATCAGGTTATCCTAGTTCAGTGATGTCTGGGATATTCTAGATTGACTAGGGTTGGTTCTACTTTCTACTTTCACAGAATAATTTAACTGACTGTTTTGTTTTGTCAGTTCGTTAAATTCTCTAAAACCATATTACATACATGATCACATAGACAGATCTACTCTCTTCATGTTAACAATGATTTTCACTTATTCAATCTGATGTACACACTGGAAAGCAACATAAAGCCGAAGCTTAAGTTATACAATTGGGGAGACAACAAGGAAATAAGTGTTCAACATATATTAATTGCATGCTTATGCTGCAGGGGGTCTTTAAGGGATAAATCCCGAGTGCCCAGAACAAATCTGCATGGTTGGGCAATTAGGTCAGTCCATTCATGTCCTATTGGGGAATAGAACACTGGCTGTCTTGGTTGATGGTGAG